TCCAGAAGGGAGCTGAGAACAGCAGGTAGTAAGTAAAGCAAGCTTCCAAGCAGCTAACAAACAAACACACAAACAAAAACCAAAACACTGCACAGAAGTCCATATATTAAAGAGTATGTAATTTCCCCCTTTAGGGCCACAACATCTCAGCCCTCTATGCAGAACTTTACAACTCTTTTTTTTCTAGACATAAATATAATTATATAGTTTCCAATAACACAGTAGAGTAAAAGTGTCAAACTTGAAATGGAAGAAAAGCTACTTTTGTTACACCAACGGCACTGAAAAGTTAAAAACCCCGTGTTTAATAGGTTGGTGATGATCCTATGTTAAAAATCAAAGACAAGAAAAAGAGCCACAACAGTTTAGGTTTATTGAGTATACAGGCAAAACCTGCATGGTGTAATAATTTATGTTTATAAAGATGCTCCTAAGTAACCAATAAAAGGTCAAATTATCTTTTTTATACCCTATTTTAAGGAATGCAACCTTGCAATATGTTTCAGAACAAGGCAGGTGGTTAAAATTTTAAATCAAAGTTTTAGTTCTTAAAAGAGAATGCACTAAGCTATCTGGAAAACTGAGCTGTCCAGAATTATTTATTTTTTGAGATTTTTTAAAAAAAAATCAAAATGTTATCAAACCTCGATCAAGTGAGACACTTTCAGTGAATTCCAAGGATAAATAATTCAAATTAGAGAAATAATTTGTGATAAATATAATAAATAAGAAAGTGACACTTATTTACCACTGAGATGAAATAAAAAGGTTTGCTCCAGACCCATTTTTTTCTCAATGTCACAATTAGGTTTTTCCAAAGCAAATGTTGTTCTTATCTGTTTGCTGTGTTCTTCTGTTAACCTGGCTGTCTCATTAGAAATGGGGACATTTCCTAGTGAAATTAATGTGACATTTAGAGAAGATTTCCTCCCTCAAATGTTTCATGTTGTTTGCCACTGAGCATACTTAGAGAAGACACTGGAATAATGTCAAGCAAATTTTGATTAAATAAGGCTAACTAGAGCCAATACATTCATGCACGAAAAGAGAAAAGCTCTTGTATTATATCTTAAAGAATGTATTTCTTCTGTGGTTCTTTATCCTATATTGAAACGATCTTGACAGATAATCTGACAGAAGAAGTGACAACTCCTAAACGGCTGGGCTTGCCTTAGAAAATGCAGCACATTTGGTCAGAGCCTGTGGTCAGTCCTTTGCTCAAGACAATTGTTTGCCACCCTGAAGGTACACTAAAATTTCCTGGAAAGCTTTATTTAAAAAACCACCCAATGCCTGAGTCCAACTCCAGGCTAGTTGCCTCAGAATCTCTTGGAGTGGGTCCTTGGTGACACTATTTTTATTTTTTATTTATTCACACAAAAGAAGATTTTGAGATGATTCTCATGTGTAGTTAGGACCGAGAACCACTGGCTTAAGACATGCAAACTATTCATTAAGAAAATATTTCCTTCTTTAGGATGATCTGAGTCTCATCCTTTGCTCCACCAGAAGTCTGAAAAAATATACTCTCTTAGTGCACAGGAGCTGGGTTTGGGCATATACCTTGAACCAGTGTGAGCTAGAACACTTGATGTCAGTACACATAGACCCATAATATAATAGGCCATCTATGGCCAGTTAACTCAGTTGTTTGGAATGTAGTACTAATGAGGCCAGAATAGTGTATTCTATCCAATTAGAATAATTCTGTTGCATAGATTTTTCCCATAACTGTAACCCAGCTGCCTCACAAAGAGACCTGAGGCAGATTACAAAGACGCAAGACAATGGGTGAATCAGCATAGCCCCATCCATTCTGGGAAAATCGGTTTTAGGAACCTGCCACATTGACTAGCGCTACTAATTGCATTAGGATGCAGCATAGGACATCTGCCCATGATGGTTTGTGCTGATTTGGGGAATTATATATTTTCATTTGAAGGTCAGGACCTGCAAGAATGGGTGGTTTACTCCTTTGGAATTAAAAAGGAGGAAGAAAGATAGGAAGGTTATAAGCTTCTATGATACTCTCCTCTTTACAGTAGCAGATCATGCCTGGCACCTCTGCCCAGGGTTAACTGACCTGTACTGGGGGAAGAATTGTTCAGGTCATTACAAGTAAGCCCTCTAGATTTGTCTCTTCTCAACTTAATGCCAGGGAGTGGGAATTCTCATGATGAGATATATTATGGCATTAGGACCAAGAAGTAGTATTTTCATTAGAGATAAAATGTGCATGGTTTTGCTTCTTTGCATGAACATGTGGTTCTGGCACCATGCCTGGAGGTCAGGTCTCCACGGAGCTTCATATTTGTTGCACAGTGCACACAGGTTCCATGCCTTCATATGCAAAAATATGGAAAATTTTCTACTTGAGAACTGTCTTCTTTAAAGGCAGTAAAGACAGATTCTTTAAATACAGTAGCTTGGGTTGCTGGAACACCTTATGGTTTTTCTGCAAAGCCAGTATCCTCTAGATTTATTTTTTGTATTTGTGTCTCTTTACGAACCTTCTTGAAAAAATGATTTAGTAAATTTTCAAGATGAGATAGAACATGGATGTGCCACTATTTTATTGCCTGAATGAGCTCAAATTCCTGCTCCTACTTGGAGTTGCAGGTTTCATATAAAGCACAGGGATTGGGATTCCTGCCTTTCCTGTCATGGGTCTGATAAACACAGCTGAAATTCTCCTTTGGATTCATGTTCTATTACCCCTGTTTTACAGAGAAGAAAACTGAGACATGCAGGGATTAAGTAATTTGCCTAAGATCACAGACTGAAATGAATATTTGAACTGCTGAGTGGTTAATCAATTCCCTGTTTTAACAGATGTATTAGCCCATTCTTACATTGCTTTAAAGAAATAACTGAGACTGGGTAATTTTATAAAGAAAAGTGGTTTAATTGGCTTATGGTTCTGCAGACTGTACAGGAGGCATGATGCTGATATCTCCTTGGCTTCTGCAGGGGCCTCAGTAAACTTACAATTATGGTGGAAGGTTAAGGGGGAGCAGGCATGTAACATGGTCAGAGTAGCAAGAGAGAGAGAGATGGGGAAGAAATGCTACACACTTTTAAACAATCAGATCTCATGAGGACTCACTCACTGTAGAGAGGACATTACCAAGAGGGATGGTGCTAAACCATTATGAGAAGTTGCCACGATGATCAAGTCACTTCCCACCAGGCCCCACCTCCAACATTTGGGATTATAATTCAACATGAGATTTGGATGGGGACACAGGTTCAAACCACATCAACAGGGTAGTATAAGTTTTGTGGAGTAGTGAACTTCTCACTTGTTAAATTATATATTGTACTGAATATCATAGATAAACACATTTAACCAACATCATTTTTACCTGTTATGTTGGTACAATGAATTAACTCGAGTGTTTGTTGGTTGACTGACTGAAGGATAAAGTTCTTCCAGCAAATACTTGGATTGTATTCCTAACAGAGCTTCAAGTTTGCTTCCTCTTCCTGTTTGTGACAATTTCGGCATTCACTCTCTATGAAGAAACCAGAAATGAACTGACCCTTTTGATTTTTAGTCTCCCAACCCATGCTTCCAATAGCATTAAAAATTGCTTGAGTTTACATTAAAAAGGGGATATAAAAGTCTAGATAAAAGCAGTGTGAGTAGATATTATACAGTCCATCTTCAAACGAGGGGCATGGGTGGGTGCATGAACGTACCTGCGTAAGTGCAGAGCAATGTTGGGGTTTAGTTTCCTTCTAAATACCCTCTTACACATTCACCATCCCTCTTCCTACCTATTGTAGGCCCTTGGGGCCTTTACCCTTACTGCTGGCTATTTGGTGCCCATGTAGTAGCTGGATCTGCTATTGCCTGTTCTGTTTTCTTCTCCATCAAACCGTGAGCTCCTTGGAAGCAAGAGCAGCATTTAGGAGCCTAGAGAGTTAGTATCTGACAGGTAGAGCTCTGAGAGGAATCTGCTCTTTTGTTTGCTAGATGGCAATTGTGTTTCCTTTTCCAAGCACTCATAATTTCAGAAGGCTCCTAAGGAAAGGTGGGAATGGTTGAGATTTCTAGTGGGATGGCAAGAGTGGGGGCGATGTGTTTGGGTAATTTCTAGATCATACAATGGTTCAAGAAGAGTAGTACTTTCGTGCTGGGGATGAGATCCACTTTACTAGAACATTCAGTTACTTCAGTGTCAACTTTTCTCTGGATTTCACCCCTTCTGAGGCTTTTCCCCTCAGTTCTCCCAACCTCTGGGTGATCATAAGCTGCTTTTTCATCACTTTCATCTGGCAGGTATTCTGCATTTGCTTTTATAAAGCCATTGCTCCAGCAGTCTGCTGTAACCAGATTAAACAGTGGTGTTCTAATGACAGGAGCTGAGACGGGTTTGCTTGCAAACTTCATGTTTCACATGAAAGGCTTTGGCACCCCCTGTGGACTGCTCTTCACCCTGTTTTAGGCTTAATTCTTGTTTGCCTTTATATCTGGGCTAAAACAAAGGCCTTCCTGTATAACCAGTGCTGAGCAAATGTCTTGAAACAAAGGGAAGTGCAGAGTTTAAATCCACAGTGGGGGATTACCTTGCCTGCATTTCCATATCTTTGGAATAAATATTTTAACATGTTAATTATCTACTACTAATAAAAATACCTTTGAACTTCCAGTCAATTTGATGGGCATAGAATTGTCTCCACTGGGGAATGGGAAGCAATTAGTTTCTGTGAAGATTGTAAGTCATGTTGTCTCTTCTCAGTAAGTGGTTGCATGGTCAGTAGCCAGTCATATTCTGTTTGTGCCAAGGCTGCCTTGGTCTGCAGGGGGGAGCTGCTGCCTCCACAGAGCCCCTAGGGCCTGAAGGAGGCAGAGGCTGCTGCTCCACTGTGGCCTTGGATTCCAATTCACTCACCGCTTCTTAGCCCAGAAACAATATTCCTTCTAAGTAGGACAGTTAAGACTCTACTTATAAATCATCCATGTAATCTTTTTAATTTTTTTCTTCTCATTGCAGACTGAAAACTATTCTTTTGACTCCAACTACGTGAATAGCCGAGCCCATTTAATCAAAAGGTATGTTGGTTTGCTTGCTTATTGCTACAACTAACCTTGATTTCACATTAAAAAGAAAACATATTAAAGTTTTTAAATCGTATTTTTCTGGGATTTAAAAATGAATGCCTAACCTACTTATTGCAGGAAGTTTGGGAAATTGAGAAGCATAAAAAAGTAAATAAACATCACTGGTAATTCCATCAACTAAGGGTAATCACTGTTGATATCTTACATTTCTTTGTATGAAAATGTATGTATAAACACTCAAAATGAAAAATAAAATTGGGATTATATTAAAGTATAGTTTTATATAGTGACAGAAATCTGATATTACAGATATTCACTATTTATAGTATTATTTCTAATATTTCTAATGTGATATTAGAAATATACAATAGAAAACTTTCACAATCATGTTGATACAAAAATCTTGTTGCTCTTTGCTTTAAGCCTTAAAAATTTTTTCATGTAGAACTTCCCATGTGTTTTGCGATTGCTGCTATTTCAACAACTTTGAAATCATTTTAAGGGTATTTTAATGACAGAGAAGCTAATCCTTTCCTTTCTAGATGAGAGAGAAAAAGAAATTTGCCTGATTCTTCTTAAAATATTTAGAAGTGTTTCAGATGAAACATTCAAAGTTGAGATTTATGTGATTGGTTGGTCATAATTTAGGATCTAAGGAGCCGTTATGGATGTGAATACAGAACTGAATATTGCCAAGAAAGATTCCATCTGGTGCAGTGGGCTGCACCCAATGAGAGAAGGACAAGGGATTTGGGAAGCCATCTAAAGGGTGGAAACTGAGCAAAGAACAGAACCTTTCAGTGGAAACTGAGAAAGACCAGTCCTGACCATTCAAATGATGACTTTATTGCTGTTTCATGTAAATAGTTACTTAAATGGTCCAGTAGTTATTCTGCAGCTAAAATTGAGCTCTGAGTATGTTTGTTAAAGCAATTGAAATGAAACAGAGAGGTGAGCAGGGTATGTTATAGCTGTAGCAGAGAAGACTCGCAAATTCTATTATTTTGCTGGCTCTAATCCCATAAATTTACATCACCAGAATTGTAGAATTCAAGGAATAAACAAGCTTCAAGTAACTTACATTCATGTCTAATTTAATTCATGAGGCTTCAGTAACCCCTAAAACATGCTAAGTTTATCTGTATTGGTCTGGAATTACTTGTGACCCTAAGTGATGATCATTAGTTGTCTGACAATGGGTAGTCCTTGTATTACCAGTAAAAGCACAGTTGAGAATTTTTTTTTTTTTTGAGGGGTTGGGAGGAATCCATTTAGAATATTTTTCTGGCTCACATAATAAAAGCAAAAGGTGAGGAATTCAAAATTATCTGGCTAATTCGTTTTAGAAAGAGAAAAAAAAAACTTCTTATGTGCACTGATTAGAGTGCCTTTGTAGTAGAAATCTGCTTTGTTTTCTGCTTCCGGATTGTTATTTTCAAAGCTCCATTTTAAAACTTTGATAAAACAGTGACTCACCTTATTCTCACAGGTCCCTTGGGCTAACTCAGGGTACCTGAGAATTCTATAGCCGGGTTAAACAGATAACATGACGCAGGACACAGTGTCTCATGCCTGTAATCCCAGTGCTTTGGGAAGCTGATGATGGAGGATTGTTTGATGCCAGGAGTTCGAGAGCAGCCTGGGCAAAATAGTGAGACCCTCCCCGCCCCACCATCTCTACCAAAAAGAAAAATAAATAAATAAAATAAAAAACCTGATAATATGAGTCTTATTTTCACAGTCTGGAGGAAAGCTAAGACTCTCAGGGACCCTTTCATCTTAAACAGTCCTGACTATCCAATTTACAAGGTAGACTGATAAGATAAAAACTTAAGTTTAAACATTTAGCTTTGGGGATACATGTATTTCCACAGCAGTGTTGAGACTGGGAACCTCTGATTTTGGTTAATTATTTTATATGTTTTTTGTTTATACACACATACACACAAAAGGCACAAGCTAGACTTAATAGGTTCTTGGTGAAAAAGTCTGATTTTGCATGAAATCAAAGATAGCTTTTTTTTTTTTTTTTCTTTAAAGCAGGGACTACCTTGCTTAAGAGGAAACATCTGAAAGCTCAGGGACACATGCATTTTTGACAGGATTCTGTGTATAGAACTGTGAGGGCTTTGGGAAACCGTGAAGGCTTTGGAATTTGTGTGGTCAATTGAGTTTAGACAAAGCATAATACCTAGAAACATACAGGGAATCTTGTGTGCTATGCTGTTCTGGGGACCAACTGTGATAAATGTAAAATGTGTGGAAAATGTTGAGAGTGGTGGCAAATACCAGGTGATAAAATCATGCAAAGCCTGTTCAAATAGTTTACAGCAATGTTTGAAAGGAGTTGTGCTGTATGTGGTTTTTTGTAGATCCATTTATATCCATGGAAAAAGCTCTTGGCCAGGAAATTCTGAATCTGATTATCAGTTTTAATTTTACTATGAAGTCCTGTTTCTTTAAATGCCAATACAATTTCAGGCTGACTTTGATAACTTACTTATCTTTTTTTTTCTCTTTTTTGAGATGGAATCTTGCTCTGTTGCCCAGGCTGGAGTGCAGTTGCTGGATCTTGGCTCACTGCGACCTCCACCTCCCGGGTTCAAGCGATTCTCCTGCCTCAGCCTCCCAAGTGGCTGGGGTTACAGGCGTGCACCACCGTGCCTGGCTAATTTTTGTATTTTTAGTAGACATGGGGTTTCCCCAGATTATCCAGGCTGGTCTTGAACTCCTGACCTCAAGTGATCTACCCACCTCTGCCTCCCAAAGTGCTGGGAATACAGGCGTTCGCCACCACACCCGGCCGAGAACTAATTTTTCTATTCATGTTCTCTTGTTCTTTTCATTTTCTACTTATCCAAGGATGTTTCCTGGACCTTTCTTTTCGGCATTTTCTAGCAGTGGTTAGCATTCTTAGCCAGACTGTTTACATACAGATATCTTTTCCTCTCTTACATCTATCTATCTTGAGTAGTTGAACAGCAGCTACCACTGTCCACCTTTGGTTCTTTCCTTCATCAGTCAGGGTTCCTACATGAAGTTGTTGGCACACCTAAATTGGAATGGCTTAAGGAAAGTTTATTTTCAAAGGGGACTATTTACAAAGGCTTGGGCACAATTAGCGAACCCCCAGGGATACTGCAGTATTATGGCACTGGAGGAGCTGAAAACACTTCAGACAGGACCGGGGAAGAGAGCAAGTAGGGAACATTCACTTGAGAGTAACAGTTACTTCTGGTTGGCCAAGGGATCCAGTCATCATGAAGTGACCCTGAAAGGAAGGAGCAGAGGCAATCAATATCCTGATATCACTGTCCTCCTCTGCTCTGATCTCCTGCTGGTGTCTTCCTTTGGCTAAACCCAACAGAAAGCCAGAGAGCAAGGGGGTTCTCATAGGTACAAATCAAGATTGAGGAGGATCTGGAAGGAAAAAGGAAGTGATATGGAAGGCTCCCCATAATTTCATGCACCAAGGAATCTAGCAATATATTTCTGTAATTTATTATTTTTTTTCTCAGAATGTCACTTGCAACCTGCAGGTATACCCAAGGAGGCTTATGTGAGAGTCCCAGATTAACAGATCATGGCAGTGCAGACTTTCTTTTGGATGGACTTCCTTCTTGCTCTGTTTGTTTCTTGCTGTCTTCTCAAAGCAAGGAAAGCCAGCAGTGGTACTTTGCCTGTGCTGCAACGCTCTTTCCTCATGCCTGTTTTGTGGTATTGTCTGATATCTACTCCTGCAGTACTTTGGGAACAATATCAAGCAGGCCATAAGTCTGTGGCTCAAAGAAAATGAAATAGGAAGTCAACAAAGCACTGACTCAGTGTGGAAAGGAATAGGAGCTTTGGCCCCCTAAATCATGCACAGTGCTTTCTTTTTCCACCCAAATTATCCTGGGGTTTTGCAGCACCTCAAATGGGGCTTGTATATAGTAAGTGGTTGGTACATGTTTATTGAGTGAATGCATGAGAGAAATTGAAAAAACCTTAGCATTTTTCTATTAAAGACTAGCACTAAATTTCTCTTTAAGCCAGTGATTTCTGAATTTTAATGTGCATTGGAATGACTTGGAAAGCTTGTTAAAGGCAGAGACACACTAGCTCCAGCCCTAGAGAACCTCCAGCTGTAACAGGTTCCCAAGGTGATTGTGATACAGGTGGTGCAGAAACCGCTCTAGGATTTACCTTATATTACTTAAATACAGTTAAAATAATCTGGATTCTCACTCCCTTCTCATTCCTAGCCTCAGATATTATTTTCTGGGTATGTGGTATCACCTACTAGGAGGATAAAACCTGTTTCCATTCAGATCTTATGTCTTTTGGAAAAGAGTTCTAATATTTTACATGGTAAATATGGGTTAGAATTTCTGTGCTGGTAGATTCATTATGCATCTGCTGAGTAGCTCTTTTGTGCAGAATCCTGTTCTAGGTGTTTTCAAACATACCTCTCTTTCTTTTGGCCACCAGAGCAGTAATAGAAACATGTGCATTTACAATATCACTGGAAACAGGAACCTCTAATTTATTGTCCCACAAAAGTTGTTTTACAAGTCCTTCATCTCCCAAGAGGTATGCCGGTAATAAAGCAACTGAAATCAGCATTTTTTATGCCTGGCATAAATCGTTACTTGTTTTGGGTGAGTAGCCATTTACCAGGCTATTTTACAATTTGCAGCATCTTGTTCACTGGGTCTTAAACTGCCTTACACAAATCCATTCATTAAACCAATAAATGTTCTTACAAGATCACTGTAAGTGGCACTTAGTTTGTCAGATGGGCAAACTAATCTTTAAATGAGTTAACTTTTCTAAGGTTTGGGAGAGTTGTTACACCTCTTGCTTTTTATTCTGAGAATACACAACTTCTTGTGCTCACACTAACAGTCCCTCACATCCTAGTAGCTAATCCTTCCTTGTTTTATTTCCATCATTTCTATTTAAAAATCAAAATCTCTGAGGTTGTTTATAATATTCAGATGCCTATAAAAAGGATGATCAAATTTTTAAAAGACAGATCCAAAACCAATTAGGAGAAGTAAGGTAGATATCTCTGGCATCCAGGGAGGTAACTGACTGCAATTAAACATTACATTTATGTTGAAGTTTTTGAGAAGCCAAGACGAAGCAGTAAGTACACCAGTTGACATAGTTTTCATTATTCAACAAAGGAAGGATGGACATTTGACAGAACTATTTTTTTTCTGTTCTTTAGTGTTAGAAGAAATTAACATATTAGGCGGTGTGTGACTATTGTTTATAGAAGTTATAGAAATGTTCTTTAAATATAAATTTTCTATACCAATCCTATAAAAACCATGGACATAATATTTAATTGTAACTCAGTAAAAGCATTACTACACAGAATAATGATTGTATTAAACAATAGCCATTTATGGAGCATCTATGTGTATCTGGTACTTCATGTACAGTCTCTGTGAGTCTTCTAAATGGCCTTGTGAAGGTGGTTTTAGCAAACACATTTTACAGATAAAGAAACTGAGATTCATTAGGCATCAGGTTCAGGACCATACAGATGAAGTGGTAGATTACAGATACTTGTCCTAATGACTCCTAGTTCAGTGCCCTTCACTATAGTTTGCTATAGAAATAAATAACCTAGAGCAGTTGTTCTCAACTTGGGGGTGATTTGGTAATGTCTCTTTGGAGACACTTTTGGTTTTTTCCCTTAAGTGGGGGTCACTACTGACATCTAGTAGATAAAGGACAGGGATGTTGCTAAACACCTTACAATGCATAGGCAGCCACAACAAAGGATTATGCAACCCCAAATGGCAATAGTGCAAAGGTTGGGAAGCCCTGTTTCAAGGGCTGGTTAATTACATTGCGCTCGTACTAGACCCGTCACCATCATATGTTTCAAGCAAGTTTCAACAACTGCTGAATTCAGAGTTGATTACTTTGGCTTAAAGTGACAGTTTTTTCTTGTGAATTAAGGAAATTTTCAGATACCAGAAAATATACAGGTTGGAAAGTTAATATTTGTTATAAAAATGGAGGACCTGAATATCATCCAGGTAGGTCATTTCCTTTCTCCAGAGGTACATGGGTGCTTGTAGGCAGGCACCCACCTCACAAAACAGAGAATAGTTTCTAAAAAACAAACTTTAAATTTATTTAAAATGTGGGATTATAATAGTATTTACAGAAAACTCCGTAATATGTGCCATAAAGCTAGAAATGGTGAAACACTTAAATCATGTGTTTCCAATTGGCCATCCTGACCATAAAAGAACTGTAGGATAATTTGTTTTTCTAAAAGAACTGCATCCTGGCGGGTCCATAAGGCTGTTAGCTGTGTGACATAAATTGAAGGAGCTGAGTGATCTGGCCTATTGAGTGATTTTAAATTTAGTGCAGTTGATACTCAGTTATTCTTTCTGAAAATAATTAGCTAACAGGTCAGTGCTTCACTCTCTCCTACTCTTCATTTTCTTATAATTATGGCTTTCCAGTTACTGCCCTCCAGATCTTTCCTTTTTGTATTCAGGTCAGCAAGCATTCTACATTTAGGTTGGTCATATGTTAAAAATCTGCTGTGATTCTTCTTGACCAAGTGTGAAGAGTGACAATGTTTCCATTGTGTCCATGGCATAGCTTTTCATTATATGTACTGAATCTTCTTATCAGTCTCAGAGAGCCAGGCCTGTGAATGTCCAAGGTTGAGCAGATCAAGTGAGTTTGCAGTGTCGTCTCCACAGGGATCTTTTCTCAGAGGCATAGTAGGTCTGTTAGGGTTTGTTTTAATTCACAAACATGCCACTCTTCCTTGTTGAGGCAACAACACATTTTCTTGAGTGTGCCTTTGCTGCTTCCTCACTGACTAAGGAATGCATTCACCATCCACTAGATATTTCAGATACATAATTTATGGATCATGGTGTAGCACAGCTGTGGATTCTGTCAGGACATATCAAGTATTAGAAATACCAGGTGGGTGCCCTATAGTTGTACCTTATGTATTATTCTCTATTTCATGAGAAATGGTGTGGAGTTCTTGGATTGCATGCTTAGTGCATTGTATGGTAGATTGATTTAATAAATGCAAGAGTCATGTTACTCACCAACTCTTGAGCTGAAAGTTTTCATGTTCTTAGTATGACTATACTCACAATTGTATTAGTGCCCATTCTCTGGTTCTCATTTTTATCTTACCTTCTATATTAGTTAGGGTTCTGCAGAGAAACAGAACCAATAGGCATATCTAAATCTATATATATGTAGAAAGAGTTTTACTGTAAGATATGGGTTCATGTGATTATGGGGGTCGAGGAGTCTCATAATCTGCCATCTGTAAGGTGGAGAACCAGGGAAGATGGAAGTGTGGTTTGAAGGCCTGAGAACCTGAGAGCCAATAGTGTAGCTTCAAGTCTAGGTCTGAAGTCTTGAGAACCAGGAGCACTGAGAGTGGGAGATGATTAATGTCCCAGCTCAAGCAGTAAGGCAGAGAGCAAACTCAACTTCTTTCTCAATTTTTGTTTAATTCAGTCCTTCAATGTATTGGATGACACCCACCCACTTTGGGGAGAGTTATCTGCTTTACTGAGCCTACCAATTCAAATGCTAATTTCTTCTGGAAATGCCTTCATAGACACACCCAGAAATAATGTTTAACCAGCTATCTGGGCATTCCACGGTGCAGTTAAGTTGACTCAAAAAATTAAACATCACACCTTCCATGCACCAAGGCTCTCCTCTTCTCAGCTACTGACTCTTCTCTTTTTCTTTGAATATGTTCATCTATCTTTCTCAGATAAAATGGATGTGGGTTCTCAGATCCTGATAATACTTCCTATTTTAATTGCACTGCTTCAGTTTCTCCTACCTTTGCTTTTTAAAGTTGGTTAGTAGACATCTTTTAAGAGTCAATATGTATAGTGGGTAAATTTCTAGGCCAGGCTCAGCAGCTAGACTACCTGTTTTTGGTCTTAGATTGGCTATATTTTTTTACCAGCTGTGTGACATTGGGTGAGTTATCTCACTTCTATGTACCTCTGTTTTTTCACCTGTAAATGAGAGTATTAGTAAAACCTTTAGTTAATGTCAGACACTTAAAACAGTGCCTCATGAATAGTTATCCCTCAGCAAACATTAGCTATTATTATTTTACTTTGATTTTATAAGAAGAGAAGAAAGCATTCTGAAATGATGACATTCTTTAGAGGCAGTTTTAGGTTTGCAGCTTCTTCCACCTTGTCTGTAGTGATGTACTGAAGATAAGTGACCGAAAATGTTAGCCGTATCAGCATCCAATAGTGGGAACCTCTCTGCAGTGTTAAGTTTCATTATCTTTAAATGCAAATTTCTCTTCCCCTTATTCCTACCCTATTGGGCAATCTAGCCACTGTTTGCGTCATTACAGAGCTGACATCATCCTGGCTCAGAAAGATTTTTAAAATCAGATCTGTCACGGTCGTAAATTATCATTCTTTCTTCAACCCAGCAGCTCCACCTTCAAGGACTTAGAGGGCAACAGCCTGAAGGATAGCGGACATGAGGAGAGCGACCAAACTGACAGTGAGCATGATGTCCAGCGGAGCCTGTATTGTGATACTGCTGTCAATGATGTGCTGAACACCAGCGTGACCTCCATGGGATCTCAGATGCCTGACCATGGTAAGGACTGGTTGGATGTAAGTTGCAACAATTGACTCCAAAGAACCGAACGTTTGTAGGCACACTATACTACTTTGCTTAATGAGTGTGTTATCAAGATGTCTACAGAGCTCATACCTCAGCATCATCTACAGGTTTTTGAGATGTCCTGACACCTAGCCAGACTCTTCTTTGACCTCCCTAAGTGGATCCCCTAGGTCTATATAATGTTTAGGCATTTTAGAAGCTGACTGCATGTACATATTGCATACATTTTCTTCAATAAAATTGCACTGAGCTTATAGGAGATGAACAGATGTCTTCTCTCCAGGAATAAATGCCTTTTTGCTTTAGTACATGAATTTAGTTGATCAATTGAATTGCATAGAACACAGTCCTAATGAAACCAAAGGGGTGGATTTTATTTCCCTATCAGACTGGTTAGCTTTACCCAGAGTAAGACTGTTCTCTGACTGTGTACTATTTACTGAGGATAGAAAGTCCCAAAGTTCCCGTTTTGTCTATGGGACTGCTATGCCAAATCCGTCCCTCTAGCTACTACACAAAACCATGCCATTAGTCATAGGGGAGACCAGTGTAAGAGAACGTGGCTGAGTGAATGTAAAGTGTCCCATTAATATGAAAGGCACTTCAAAGCACATGTCAGGAGTGGCATCCTCATGTATGAAGAAGAGTCTATTTTTTGTGAACTGAGCCACACATGCTTTAGCAAGGGGCACTATTTAAAACTTTGCTAGGCAGAAACCAGGGTATAAAAGCATTAGCAGAGTTCAACTAAGGCAGAATGTTTAGATGGACTTGGGCACAAATGTCATTTTCAATATTTTACTGATGCAAACATGCTATGCAAACAGCCTGTCTTTTTCAATTAAGAAATATGAATTCAACTTGGTGTTTAGGCTCAGTGAAGCTTCAGAATGCTTGGCTATGTCTTGAGAAAAGCTAGACTCAAGCTCAGCTGGAAGCCCTACTGCTAAAAGACTTAAAGATGAGAAAACAAAATATGGTGATTATGTGCTGGTCTTCAGCTGTTTCATTTGACTGTAAACATCATTAAATGCTTTTGTTTTGGTTTTGGAAATAAATCCAAAGGAAAAAAATGCGCCATCTACAAAACAAAATGTTTTTGATGGAAAAAAATTAGTCACTGTAGATTCTATTAAATTGTCTAATCCATCCCCTCCCCAGCAGACCCAAGTGTCAAAGTCTATTATATATAGAGGTCACTATGAATTGTGCACTGTTGCCTTCCCTAATTGGTGAGTGGTGACATCTGCAGAGATAATACACTTTCTGGAAAACCTTACTAGGACTAAAGATGAAAAAAATTAAACACTTATATAACTGAAACAGAGGCAATTTAATACTCAGAGGATTAGCAGTATGTCACAGGATGCAAACTGATATATATCATTTGCTAGTCGTGTGTTTCAAAGAAACACTTTTTAATTTATATCAAGAAAGGGTTTTAGTTAGATGCTCTCTAGAATGAAATGACTCCAGGAAAGGAAATAGTCATAATTGATTCTCACTTTATGCCTGGCTAGCACAGCATCTGTTTTAATTTTTTGTCACATTTCTCTAGGAAATCGGTATCAGGGGGCTGGAGCTAGTTTTTCTGGGAGAGTGTTTATTATGAATGGGATGTATTACATATGCATGTATTTATGTATACATATATATGTATTTATGTATATATATATGTTTATATATATACACTGTGTAGATTGGATAATAAGAAGAGCATTCTTTTTTGTGAATGCATACCTAAATTTTATTTGAGCTTAGCCATTTAGGTTGAAGGTAGAGTCCACCAGTCTCCATATAGGTAGTGACCATATATCGCAATTTGCCTTGTATACCTCACTTTATATCTGTGTCCTTGTCATAATCAATGATGAGAATATTCTAAAGGAAATGTGTGGCAATGTCCCAAGATTCTCCTACATATAAGATGATGATTTTATACACACACACATGCATACACACACATACATACTTTTTGCTATTCCATTTTTGGCAACAATTTCACATTTTCTTTCTTACTATTTGATTTGCATGTGTGTGTCTTCATTTTTTCTATTATTCTGGCAGTGGTTAAATCTTGAGCCAACCTATGAGTGAGTTCTTTTCAACTTGTGTGATTGCCTAAAGTTTAGGTACAAAAATAATTTGGATCTTGTTTACACCTCAGTCTCTCCCTTGTGATATCCTACTACTTCTGAAGCTTTCTGTAATAATACTTCTGTGTCCCAAATAAACTCCAGACTTGCCACCTAGATTCCATCACCAGTTCACTTGGACTGATGACTGCAACCTCAAAAAAGGGCAATAACTTCAACAATCAACATTTCATAGCATTTTACTATCTCAAGCCTGCATTTGCATAATAAGTATATCACATTTTATCTTAAGGTACAGTGGTTGAAAGGCAGTGACTGGGTGATCTATCATGCATGCCTGATATTATAACCATTTTAGTTAGATTTGTCCCGGGGTAGCATGGTATTGTTGCTTCAAAGGACTACCAATTTGGAAAGATGAGAAGGGAAAATAGAATCTGCACTGGACTGAGACCTGTACTGAAAATCTCAAGTATTTCTTGAGGAGAAAAAAAGCTAGTCCCAAATCTCCTTGGTTCATTGGCACTGTGATAGGAATCTTAAACCCACGTGTCCTGAAATACTTGGAATTCCAGAGCAACTGTTCTTGAGGTTTGTGTAGGTGTCACCAGAGCAGAGTGAAGAATGTAGTGAATTTGCCAGGCTAACTCTGATCCTGATATTTCTTTTAGTTCTACCATAACTACTGCAAAGTTGGGCCAAATGTACCCAAAAGAGCGTACCTTACACCTTTGTTTTGGGGAGTTTGTCTCACCTTGTATTTCATGTCTGTAGCTCTCTCTGTGACTTTTCTAACTTGGATATTAGTATTGAATCTTCCTTGCACATATGTGGACACATAATTGATGTGGAATCTCAAAATTTTCAAAATAAAGGTAATTTTGTACATCAGTTAATTTTTCCATTGAGCAGGAATGGGTTGTTCAATGAGCTGATATTGTGTTGCCTGTGTTTGAGGTAAAGGTACAAACTATATTTACTCCTCTTTCTGCAAGACACCTGGGCCCTGTGCTTTTCCATATTACCAAACGTGTCTATGGGATTTGTCCTTATGACTTTAGTGTAGCAGAAGAATGATTGGTATGAATAACAGGGGTGGTTTGTGACTCTGAGCAAGAGCCCAAATTCATTAATTATCAGTAACCCTTCTCTGAGAACATTTCTAGAGGTGGGAAACCAGAATCACTATATTTAATGAAGGAAGGAGAATATTATATTCAATAGAGGAAAGAGAATGTGTAGAAGACTTCCTTTTTTTTTTCTTTTTTTTTTTTTNAAACAGTTAGTTAATGTCAGACACTTAAAACAGTGCCTCATGAATAGTTATCCCTCAGCAAACATTAGCTATTATTATTTTACTTTGATTTTATAAGAAGAGAAGAAAGCATTCTGAAATGATGACATTCTTTAGAGGCAGTTTTAGGTTTGCAGCTTCTTCCACCTTGTCTGTAGTGATGTACTGAAGATAAGTGACCGAAAATGTTAGCCGTATCAGCATCCAATAGTGGGAACCTCTCTGCAGTGTTAAGTTTCATTATCTTTAAATGCAAATTTCTCTTCCCCTTATTCCTACCCTATTGGGCAATCTAGCCACTGTTTGCGTCATTACAGAGCTGACATCATCCTGGCTCAGAAAGATTTTTAAAATCAGATCTGTCACGGTCGTAAATTATCATTCTTTCTTCAACCCAGCAGCTCCACCTTCAAGGACTTAGAGGGCAACAGCCTGAAGGATAGCGGACATGAGGAGAGCGACCAAACTGACAGTGAGCATGATGTCCAGCGGAGCCTGTATTGTGATACTGCTGTCAATGATGTGCTGAACACCAGCGTGACCTCCATGGGATCTCAGATGCCTGACCATGGTAAGGACTGGTTGGATGTAAGTTGCAACAATTGACTCCAAAGAACCGAACGTTTGTAGGCACACTATACTACTTTGCTTAATGAGTGTGTTATCAAGATGTCTACAGAGCTCATACCTCAGCATCATCTACAGGTTTTTGAGATGTCCTGACACCTAGCCAGACTCTTCTTTGACCTCCCTAAGTGGATCCCCTAGGTCTATATAATGTTTAGGCATTTTAGAAGCTGACTGCATGTACATATTGCATACATTTTCTTCAATAAAATTGCACTGAGCTTATAGGAGATGAACAGATGTCTTCTCTCCAGGAATAAATGCCTTTTTGCTTTAGTACATGAATTTAGTTGATCAATTGAATTGCATAGAACACAGTCCTAATGAAACCAAAGGGGTGGATTTTATTTCCCTATCAGACTGGTTAGCTTTACCCAGAGTAAGACTGTTCTCTGACTGTGTACTATTTACTGAGGATAGAAAGTCCCAAAGTTCCCGTTTTGTCTATGGGACTGCTATGCCAAATCCGTCCCTCTAGCTACTACACAAAACCATGCCATTAGTCATAGGGGAGACCAGTGTAAGAGAACGTGGCTGAGTGAATGTAAAGTGTCCCATTAATATGAAAGGCACTTCAAAGCACATGTCAGGAGTGGCATCCTCATGTATGAAGAAGAGTCTATTTTTTGTGAACTGAGCCACACATGCTTTAGCAAGGGGCACTATTTAAAACTTTGCTAGGCAGAAACCAGGGTATAAAAGCATTAGCAGAGTTCAACTAAGGCAGAATGTTTAGATGGACTTGGGCACAAATGTCATTTTCAATATTTTACTGATGCAAACATGCTATGCAAACAGCCTGTCTTTTTCAATTAAGAAATATGAATTCAACTTGGTGTTTAGGCTCAGTGAAGCTTCAGAATGCTTGGCTATGTCTTGAGAAAAGCTAGACTCAAGCTCAGCTGGAAGCCCTACTGCTAAAAGACTTAAAGATGAGAAAACAAAATATGGTGATT